CCCCCCCAATTATTAAATCCCAATTTCAATCCTCTGGAGCAGGCTTGGGAACAACACAACACAGCAAGTTCATCACAGGTACAAAACAGTTTGGGGGTTAGAAAAGCATCTCTAAGGTCTGTTTTAAAAAGGCAGGAGAAGCAGGGAAACCCCTCGATGCCTCCCAACAGCACGTGCTTGCGCAGATCTGGGGATGGAGAAGCTGCACCGAGTTTTGTCTGGTTTTACCAGACCACTTGATAACATTATAAATATTCAAATACATTCCCTTTGCTAGATCCTCGTTTTCTAAGTGTTTGAGGGTAAGGAACAACCATCCTCCAAGCTTTCACACCCACGCTGTGTTATTTTTCTTCAGGAAAACAAGGCTAGCAATAAACTCGACTCCCAAAAGGCAAGGCGCCGTCAAAATAACCCTACAAGCTTGACCTGCCGTGGATTCAGCTTTTGCTCTTACGGCACAGGAACAGCGGGGCTGGGAATAACCACCCCCGGATCGCAAAGCAGAAACAGCCCTGTCCTATAACCCTGCTCCAACATCAAAAAAGGGAAAAGGGTAAATAAACCCAGGCTGTTGTAAGAGGGAGCTAACGCATCCCAGCCAGCTCCTATTACCGTTTATCGAGCAGATCCACAGGAGAAAATCCCATGCCAGTGTTTTTACTACTTATTCCAGGAGCAGAACGGAGTTTTTCTGTCCCGTTTGCATTTCGGGGGGATGCAGTAGGTGCTTTCTCACTCATCCTGGCTCTCCGCTTGCACCGAACCGAGCTTCAGTTTGGACACAGCCTAGAATTAATCTCCGAGCACTCAAAAAGACGCAGTAAAGGGCTTTAAGCAGTCGTGTCTCATCCAAAAGTACCTGCAATTCAATTAACTTGCCCGGACGGATCCAAGAGTCGCTTTCTGCTTGGACCGATTGCTGTGAAGTCCAACACAACCCCCTTGAAGCATCTTATTATATTTTGCACCCTACAGCCCTCCTGCTCTCGAAGAATCGCCTTTATATTCCAGCAGCAGTAACGTTTTACAGCGCTCAGAAATTAGGCTGAAGCACTACCAAAGAGGGATCGCAACTGCTTAAAATAACATGTAAAGAAATGCTAGAAGGGCAATCGAAACAGAGCTCTGCCAGCGCTGATCAAATTTGCCTGGCCTTTCCTAAAAGCTGTGCCTCTGCCAGCTGGCAAAGCATTTTATAACTCTTTTCCTCCTTTCAGAGCACTTCAATTTTCCCCTCTCTCCCCTCCTGAAATTATTTAAGAACCTGCTATTTATTCTGCTAAAGTAATTATCCGCTGCAGTGGAACAAACAGATGCGGAATATTAAATGCAGGCAAAAACCACCGGGTTTAAGCGCTTCGAGGAGCGCGGCAGCGACATCAGGCAGCCAGCAGCCCCCTCCTGCAGAACCCCTCTCGACCCAAAAAGGTTTCCCCTACCTGCAGGCACCTCTCCCGGTCCCCAATTCACAGGCGTGGGTGGCATCAGTGGTTCCCATCCCGAACTACCTCCTCTCCTCCGCAACTCTCGGCTGGTTTAAGAAGTGCTTGAACCCGCAGGGTTTTTGACCTGGCTTTGGTGTTTGGGTTTTTTTTTTTGTTGGGTTTTGTTTTTTTTTTTTTTAAGGGGAAAAAAAAAAGTCAACAGATTTTAGAAGGAAAAAAAAGCCTCCAAGGGAAAGATCTTGAATGAAAATAAGAGGCTGTGTAATAGTACTGAGTCAGAGCACATTAGTCATAAGGGAATGCTCATTTTCACATGCCACAAAAAAATTTCTCTCCCCAAAACATAATCGTAGAAGCTATGTTCTCACCCGGGGAAAAAAAAAAAAATAAAAAACACCCCTAAAGGTGTGTGAAAGGACCCAGCCCTGGCTGGCGGACTGCTTCGGCTGGAAGGAGAAAGGGACTCCACAGAAGAGAACAATTAACTGCACTTGGCAATCAGGAGCTCCAGCGTTAATTTAAGGGTGGAAGATAGCAACTGCCTCCAACCTGCTCCAGACTCTTCCTCCTACTTTACAACTGCTTATTCTGCTTGTCAACAGCCCCATCGGCACAGTAGGGTAGCATTTTGGGAGACATTTAGATCTTTTAAGCTTATTCTCCTACCCAGTTTTTTTTTTTAAAAAAAAAAAGCCTATTCCACCAGACA